AACAGACCACAGACAGTCTCACTCTCCAGAACAGCCTGAGCGTCCTCTCCCAGAACAGATCACAGACAGTGTCTCCTCTAAGAACAGACCACACAGATGATCTCACTCTCCCAAGAACAGATCACAGAACTAGTGTCCTCTCCCAGAACAGAACCACAGACAGTGTCCTCTCCCAGAACAGACCAGAGACAGTGTCTCTCCCAAGAACAGACCACAGACAGTGTCCTCTCCAAGAACAGCCGAACAGCGTCTCTTTCCCAAGAACAGATCACAGACAGTGTCCTCTCCAAGAACAGATCCACGGAACCAGTGTCTTCTCCCAAGAACAGAACCACAGACAGTGCCCTCTCCCAAGAACAGAACCACAGACAATGTCCTCTCCCCAGAACAGCCCACAGACAGTGTCCTCTCCCAGAACAGATACTAGACAGTCTCCTCTCCCAAGAACAGATCACAGACAGTGTCCTCTCCCAAGAACAGAACCACAGACAGTGTCCTCTCCAAGAACAGCCCACAGACAGTGTCCTCCCAAAGTACAGCCACAGACAGTGTCCTCTCCCAGAACAGACCACAGACAGTCTCCTCTCCCAAGAACAGATCACAGACAGTGTCCTCTCCCAAAGAACAGAACCACAGATGTCCTCTCCCAAGAACAGACCAAGACAGTGTCCCTCTCCCAAGAACAGCCCACAGACAGTGTCCTCTCCCAAGAACAGCCCACAGACAGCGTCACCTCTCCCAGAACAGATCACAGACAGTGTCCTCTCTAAGAACAGACCACACAGACAGTCTCCTCTCCAAGAACTTGGATCCACAGACAGTGTCTCTCCCAAGAACAGAGACCACAGACAGTGTCCTCCCAGAACAGACCACAGACAGTGTCCTCTCCAAGAATTAAGATCACAGACAGTGTCCTCTCCCAAGAACAGACCAGAGACAGTCTCCTCTCCCAGAACAGATCACAGACAGTGTCCTCTCCAGAACAGACCACAGACAGTGTCGTCTCCCAAGAACAGATCTAGACAGTGTCCTCCCAGAACAGACCAGGGGCAGTCTCCTCTCCCAAGAACAGATCACAGACAGTGTGTCACTCTCCCAGAACAGACCACAGACTGAGTGTCACTCTCCCAGAACAGACCAGGACAGTCTCCCTCTCCAAGAACAGATCACAGACAGTGTCCTCTCCCAAGAATAGACCACAGAACCCATTCTCCTCTCCCAGAGACAGATCACAGACAGTGTCCTCCCCAAGAACAGCCACAGACAGTGTCCTCTCCAAGAACAGACCACAGACAGTGATGTCCTCTCCAAGAACAGCCCACAGACAGGTGTCTCCCAAGACAGACCACAGACAGTGTCCTCTCCCAGAACAGCCCACAGACAGTGTCCTCCCCAAGAACAGACCACAGACAGTGTCCTCTCCCAAGAACAGCCCACAGACAGTGTCCTCTCCCAAGAACAGCCACAGACGGTATACTCCCCCAAGAACAGACCGCAGACAATGTCCTCCCCCAGAACAGACCTTAGACAGTGTCCTCTCGCAAAGAACAACCCACAGACAGTGTCCTCTCCCAAAGACAGCCCACAGACAGTGTCTCCCCAAGAACAGACCACAGACAGTGTCCTCCCCAAGAACAGCCACAGACAGGCTGTCCTCTCCCAGAACAGACCACAGACAGTGTCCTCTCCCAGAACAGCCACAGACAGTGTCCTCTCCAGAACATACAGACAGTGTCACTCTCCCAAGAACAGCCCACAGACAGTGTCCTGCCCCAGAACAGACCACAGACAGTGTCCTCCCCAGGAACAGCCCACAGACAGTGTCCTCTCCCAGAACAGACCACAGACAGTGTCTCTCCCAAGAACAGACCACAGACAGTGTCACTCTCCCAGAACAGACCACAGACAGTCTCCTCTCCAAGAGACAGACGCAGACAGTGTCCTCTCCCAGAACAGACCACAGACAGTCTCCTCTCCCAAGAACAGACCACAGACAGTGTCACTCCCAAGAGCAAAGACCACAGACAGTGTCCTCTCCCAGGAGCAGCCCACAGATAGTGTCTCTCCCAAGAACAGAACCACAGACAGTGTCACTCTCCCAAGAACAGCCACAGACAGTCTCTCCCAAGAACAGATCACAGACGGTGTCCTCTCCCAAGAACAGCCCACAGACAGTGTCCTCTCCACAGGACAGAACCACAGACAGTGTCACTCCCCAAGAACAGCCCACCACAGACGAGGTAGTCTCCTACCAAGACAGACCACAGACAGCGTCCTCTCCCAGAACAGATACAGACAGTGTCCTCTCTCTAGAACAACCTTACAGACAGTCTCCTCTCCCAGAACAGATCACAGACAGTGTCCTCTCCAGAACAGACCACAGACAGTCTCCTCTCCCAAGAACAGACCACAGACAGTCTCCTCCCAGAACAGATCACAGACAGTGTCTCTCCCAGAACAGACAACAGACAGTCTCCTCTCCAGAACAGCCCACAGACAGTGTCCTCTCCCAAGAACAGATCACAGACAGTGTCGTCTCCCAAGAACAGAACCACAGACAGTCTCCTCTCCCAGAACAGATCTAGACAGTGTCCTCTCCCAAGAACAGCCACAGACAGCGTCCTCCCAGGAACAGCCCACAGACAGTGTCTCTCCCAAGAACAGAACCACAGACAGTCTCCTCTCCCAGGGCAGACCAGGGGCAGTGTCCTCTCCCAAGAACAGCCACAGACAGTGTCCTCTCCCAGAACAGACCACATACAGTCTCCTCTCTCTCCAAGAACAGCCCACAGCAGCATCCTCCCCAGAACAGACCAGAACCCAGTGTCCTCTCCCAAGATAGACCACGATCTCCTCACCTCCCAAGAACAGACCACAGACAGTCTTCTCCCAGAACCTTATTACAGACAGTCTCCTCTCCCAAGAGACAACAGATCTGAACCAATTACTCTCCCCAGAACGACCACAGACAGTCCTCCTCTCCCAAGAACAGCCCACAGACAGCGTCTCCCCCAAGAACAGATCACAAGACAGTGTCCTCCCAAGAATAGACCACAGACAGTCGTCTCTCCCAAGAACAACCCACAGACGTCTCCTCCAAGGCAGATCTGGAGCAGTGTCCTCTCCAAAACAGCCCCTGAACCAGCGTCTCCCCCAGGCAGATCACAGGCAGAGTGTCCTCCTCCCAAATGAATACAGACAGTCTTCTCTCCCAGAACAGCCCACAGACAGTCTCCTCTCCCAAGAACAGATCACAGACGATCCTTCTCCCAAGGTGGCCCACAGACAGCGTCCTCCCCAAGAACAGATCTACAGACCCACAGTGTCCTCTCAAAGAATAGACCACAGACAGTCTTCTCTACAAGAACAGCCCTAGACAGTCTCACTCTCAAGGAGCTTTAGATCTGAATGACCTCTCCCAAGAACAGACCTGAACAGTGGTGTCTCCTCCCAGAACAAGACCACAGACGATCTCCTCTCCCAGAACACTTGCAGCCCACACAGACAGCGTCCTCCCCCAAGGAGCAAGATCACAGACAGTGTCACTCTCTTAAGAATAGACCACAGACAGTCTCCTCTCCCAGGGCGATACAGACAGTCTTCTCTCACCAAGAACAGCCCTGAGCAGTCTCCTCTCCAAGAACAGCCCACAGACAGTGTCCTCTCCAAGAACAGCCTGGTCCCTCTCTCCAAGAACAGACCCTGAGACAGTCTTCTCTCCCAAGACAGACCTGGTGATCTCCTCCTCCCAAGAACAGCCCACAGACAGTGTCCTCTCCCCAGGGCAGCCCACAGACAGTCTCCTCTCCCCAGAACAGATCACAGATGATGTCGTCTCCAAGAACAGAACCACAGACAGTGTCACTCTCCCAGAACAGCCACAGACGGTCTTCTCTCCCAGAACAGACCACAGACAGTGTAATGCCCAAGAACAGACCACAGACAGTCTGCCTGCTCTCCCAGAACGAGGCCACAGACAGGTGGCTGTCTCCCAGAACAGCCCACAGACAGTCTCCTCTCCCAGGAACAGACCACAGACAGTCTCACTCTCCCGAACAGATGCAGACATTCTCCTCTCCCAAGAACAGCCCACAGACAGTCTCCTCTCTCCCAAGAGAACAGACACAGACAGTCTCCTCTCCCAGGGGCAGACCACAGGCAGGTCCTTCTCTCCCAGAGACAGCCCCACAGACCAGTCTCTCCCAGGAACAGACCACAGACAGTCCTCCTCTCACAGAACAGATCCACAGACAGTCTCCTCTCAAGAACAGATCACCCAGACAGTCTCCTCTCCCAGAACGAGCAGGGCGTTCCTCCTCTCCAAGGGGCAGATGGGAACATTCTCCTCCTCCCAAGAGCCAGCCCACAGACAGTCTTCTCTCCCACCCAGAACAGACCACAGACAGTGTCACCACCCCAAGAACAGACCACAGACAGTCTTCTCTCCCAAGAACAGCCCACAGACAGTCCTCACTCTCCCAGAGACAGACCACAGACAGTCTCCTCTCCCAAGAACAGATCAGACATTCTCTCTCTCTCTCTCTCCCAAGAACAGGTCACAGACAGTCTCTTCTCCCAGAACAGACCACAGACAGGTGTCCTGCCCAGAACAGACACAGACAGTCTCTCCTCCTCCCAGAACAGACCACAGACAGTCTTCTCTCCCAAGAACAGCCACAGACAGTCTCCTCTCCCAAGAACAGATCACAGACAGTGTCGTCTCCCAAGAACAGAACCACAGACAGTGTCCTCTCCCAAGAACAGACCACAGACAGTCTTCTCTCCCAAGACAGCCCACAGACAGTCTCCTCTCCCAGAGCAGATCTGAACAGTGTGTCGTCTCCCAAGAACAGAGACCACAGACGTCTCCTCTCCCCAAGAACAGATCACAGACAGTGTCCTCTCCCAGAACAGACCATTTGATGTCGTCTCCCAGAACAGATCACCAGACATTGTCTCTCCCAAGAACAAGATCTGAACACATTATCCTCTCCCAGAACAGATCACGGGTAGTGTAAATCTCCCAAGAACAGCCCACAGACAGTCTCCTCTCCCAAGAACAGATCTGAACATTGTCCTCTCCCAAGAACAGCCCTGAGGCAGTGTCCTCTCCCAGGGCTGGATCACAGACAGTGTCCTCTCCCAGGAGCAAGATCACAGACAGTGATGTCGTCTCCCAGAAACAGCCCACAGACAGTCTCCTCTCCCAGAACAGGGCAGAGACAGTGTCCTCTCCCAAGAACAGCCCACAGGAGCAGTGTCCTCTCCCAGAGACAGACCACAGACAGTCTCTCTCCCAGAACAGATCACAGACAGTGTCCTCTCCCAAGAACAGACCACAGACAGTGTCCTCTCCCAGAACAGATCACACAGACAGTGTCCTCTCAGGCAGCTTCCCACAGACAGTGTCTCTCCCAAGAACAGCCCACAAAAGACAGTGTCCTCTCCCAGAACAGATCACAGACAGTGTCCTCTCCCCAAGGTGACCCACAGACAGTGTCCTCTCCAAAACAGCCCACAGACAGGCGTCCTCTCCCAAGAACAGATCACAGACAGTGTCCTCTCCCAAGAACAGACCCACAGACAGTCTCCTCTCCCAGAACAGATCACAGACAGTGTCTCACTCTCCCAGAACAGACCACAGACAGTGTCCTCTCCCAAGAAAGATCACAGACAGTGTCCTCTCCCAAAACGAATCTGAACAGTGTCCTCTCCCAGAACAGACCAGAGACAGTGTCCTCTCCCAAAGAACAGACCAGGGCAGTGTCACCTCCCAGAACAGACCAAGACAGTCTCTCTCCCAAGAACAGATCACAGACAGTGTCACTCTCCCAGAACAGATCACAGACAGTGTCCTCTCCCCTAAGAACAGATCACAGACAGTGTCCTCTCCCAGAACAGACCACAGACAGTGTCCTCTCCCAGAACAGATCACAGACAGTGTCTCTCAAGAACAGACCACAGACAGTGTCCTCTCTCCCAAGAACAGATCACAGACTGATGTCCTCTCCCAAGAACAGACCACAGACAGTGTCCTCTCCCAGAACAGCCCACAGACAGCGTCCTCTCCAGAACAGATCACAGACCAGTGTCCTCTCCCAGAACAGACCTGACAATCTCATCTCCAAGAACAGATCACAGACAGTGTCCTTCTCCCAGAACAGATCACAGACAGTGTCCTCTCTCAAGAACAGACCACAGACAGCGTCCTCTCCCAAGAACAGACCACAGACAGTGTCACTCTCTCCAAGAACAGATCACAGACAGTGTCACTCTCCCAAGAACAGACCACAGACAGTCTCACTCTCCCAAGAACAGATCTGAACAGTGTCCTCTCCCAAGAACAGAGACACAGACAGTGTCCTCTCTCCCAGAACAGACTGAACCAGTCTCCTCCTCAAGAACAGATCACAGACAGTGTCTCTCCCAAGAACAGACCACAGACAGTGTCCTCTCCAGAACAGACCACAGACAGTCTCTCACTCTCCCAGAACAGACCACAGACAGTGTCCTCCCAGGGAACAGAGACCACAGACAGTGTCCTCTCCCAGGAGCAACCCACAGACAGTGTCCTCTCCAAGAACAGATCATAGACAGTGTCTCTCCAAGAACAGAACCACAGACAGTGTCCTCTCCAGAACAGACCACAGACAGTCTCACTCTCCCAGAACAGAATACAGACAGTGTCTCTCCCAAGAACAGAACCACAGACAGTGTCCTCTCCCAAGAACAGCCCACAGACAGTCTCCTCTCCCCAAGAAACAGATCATAGACAGTGTCCTCTCCCAAGAACAGAACCACAGACAGTGTCTCTCCCAAGAACAGACCAGAGACCAGTGTCCTCTCCCAAGAACAGAACCACAGACAGTGTCTCTCCCAAGAACAGCCCACAGACAATGTCCTCTCCCAAGGAGCAGCCCACCAGACAGTGTCCTCTCCCAGAACAGACCACAGACAGTCTCTCCTTCTCCCAAGAACCAGTCACAGACAGTCTCCTCTCCCAGAACAGACCACAGACAGTCTCCTCTCCCAGAACAGCCCACAGACAGCGTCTCTCCCCAAGAACCGATCACAGACAGTGTCCTCTCCCAGAACAGACCTGGGAACAGTCTCCTCTCCAGAACAGACCACAGACAGTCTCCTCTCCCAAGAACAGCCCACAGACAGCGTCCTCTCCCCAGAACAGATCACAGGCAGTGTCCTCTCCCAAGAACAGACCACAGACAGTCTCCTCTCCCAGGGTAGCCCACAGACAGTCTCCTCTCCCAGAACAGATCACAGACAGTCTCCTCTCCCAGAACAGATCACAGACAGAGTGTCCTCTCCCAGAACAGGCACAGACAGTCTCCTCTCCCAGAACAGATCTACAGACAGTGTCCTCTCCCAGGAACAGACCACAGACAGTCCTCACTCTCCCAGAACAGACCACAGACCAGTCTCCTCTCCAAGAACAGCCCACAGACAGCGTCCTCTCCAAGAACAGATCACAGACAGTGTCTCTCCAAGAACAGACCAGAGAGACAGTCTCACTCTCCCAAGAACAGCACACAGACAGTGTCCTCTCCCAGAGGCAGACACAGACAGTCTCCTCTCCCAAGAACAGATCACAGACAGTGTCTCTCCCAGAACTGACCACAGACAGGCCTCCTCTCCCAAGAACAGCCCACAGACAGCGTCCTCTCCCAGAACAGAATCTACAGACAGTGTCCTCTCCCAAGAACTTGAATACAGACAGTCTCCTCTCCCAAGAACAGACCACAGACAGTCTCCTCTCCCAGAACAGCCCACAGACAGCGTCCTCTCCCAGAACAGATCACAGACAGTGTCTCTCCCAGAAAGACCACAGGGCAGTCTCCTCTCCCAAGAACAGATCACAGACAGTGTCCTCTCCCAAGAACAGAGACCGCAGACAGTGTCCTCCCAGAACAGACCCAGAGACAGTGTCCTCTCCAAGAACAGAACCACAGACAGTGTCCTCTCCCAGAACAGCCCACAGACAGCGTCCTCTCCCAAGAACAGATCACAACAGTGTCCTCTCCCAAGAACAGATCACGAACAGTGTCTTCTCCCAAGAACAGAGACACAGACAGTGTCACTCTCCCAAGAACAAGACACAGACTTGGTGTCCTCTCCAAGAACAGCCCACAGACAGTGTCCTCTCCCAAGAACAGATCTGAACAGTCCTCTCCCAGAACAGATCTGGAGCAGTGGTGTCACTCTCCCAAGAACAGAACCACAGACAGTGTCTCTCCAAGAGACAGCCCACACAGACAGTGTCCTCTCCCAAGAACAGCCCACACAGACAGTGTCTCTCCCAGAACAGACCACAGACAGTCTCCTCTCCCAGAACAGATCACAGACCGTGTCCTCTCCCAAGAACAGAACCACAGACAGTGTCCTCTCCAAGAACAGACCAGAGAGACAGTGTCCTCTCCAGAACCAGCCCCACACACAGACAGTGTCTCTTCCCAAGAACAGCCCTGGCAGTCTCCCAGAACAGATCACAGACAGTGTCCTCTCCTAAGAACAGACCACAGACCAGTCCTCTCTCCAAGAGACAGATCACAGACAGTGTCCTCTCCCAAGAACAGAGACCACAGACAGTGTCTCTCCCAGAACAGACCTGAACCAGTGTCCTCTCCCAAGAACAGATCACAGACGAGGTGTCTCTCCCAGAACAGACCAGAGACAGTCTCACTCTTTCCCAGAACAGATCACAGACAGTGTCCTCTCCCAAGAAGAACAGACCACAGACAGTGTCATCTCCCAAGAGCCCTGGTCACAGACAGTGTCCTCTCCCAAGAACAGACCAGAGACAGAGTCTCCTCTCCCAAGAACAGATCACAGACAGTGTCTCTCCCAGAACAGACCTGACAAGTGTCCTCTCCCAAGAAGACAGACCAAGAGACAGTCTCCTCTTCCCAGAGAACAGATCACAGACAGTGTCTCTCCCAGAATAGACCACGGGCAGTCTCCTCTCCCAAGAACAGATCTGAACCCAGTGTCCTCTCCCAAGAAGAATAGACACAGACAGTGTCCTCTCCCAAGAACAGACCACAGACAGTCTCCTCTCCCAGAACAGATCCTGTAGACAGTGTCCTCTCCCAGAACAGACCACAGACAGTCTCCTCTCCCAAGAACAGACCACAGACAGTGTCCTCTCCCAAGAACAGATCACAGACAGTGTCCTCTCCAAGAACAAGACCACAGACAGTGTCCTCTTCAAGAACAGGTCACAGATAAATTAGTCCTCTCCAAGACAGATCACAGACAGTGTCATCTCCCAGAACAGACCACAGACAATGTCCTCTCCCAGAACAGATCACAGACAGTGTCATCTAAGGAAACAGAACCACAGACAGTGTCCTCTCCCCAGAACAGACCAGAGACAGTCTCTCCTCTCCCAGAATGAGCTACAGATAGTGTCCTCTCCCAAGAGGCAGCCACAGACAGTCTCTCCTCTCTCCAAGAACAGATCTGAACAGTCTCCTCTCCCAAGAATAGACCACAGACAGTGTCGTCTCCCAAGAACAGACCACAGACAGTCCTCCTCTCTCCCAAGAACAGGCCTGAGCAGTGTCACTCTCCCAGAACAGATCACAGACAGTCTCTTCTTTCCCAGAATAGACACAGACAGTGTCGTCTCCCAAGAACAGACCTACAGACAGTCTCCTCTCCCAAGAACAGATCTGCTGAAACAGTCTCCTCTCCCAGAATAGACCACAGACAGTCTTTCTCTCCCAAGAACAGATCTGAAGACAGTATGTCGTCTCCCAGAGAACAGAACCACAGACGTCTCCTCTCCAAGAACAGACCAGAGACGGTGTCCTCTCCCAATAACAGATGCAGGGCAATTATCGTCTCCCAAGAACAGACCAAGAGACAGTGTCCTCTCCAGAACAGATCTGAACAGTGTCCTCTCCCAATAACAGATCACAGACAGTCTCCTCTCCCAAGAACAGGCGAGACAGTGTCTCTCCCAGAACAGACCACAGACGGTGTCTCTCCAAGAACAGATCACAGACAGTGTCGTCTCCCAAGGAACAGACCACAGACAGTCTCCTCTCCCAGAGAACAGATCACAGACAATTGTCGTCTCCCAAGAACAGACCACAGACAGTGTCCTCTCCCAAGAACAGATCACAGACGAATAAATGCTCCCAAAACAGGCTTACAGACGGTGTCTCTCCCAAGGGCAGATTACAGACAGTGTGTCCTCTCCAAGAACAGACCAGAGACAGTGCATCTCTCCCAGAACAGCCACGAACCAGTCTCCCCAGAACCAGATCACAGACGGTGTCGTCTCCCAGAACAGACCACAGACGGTCTCCACTCTCCCAAGAACAGATCACAGACAGTGTCGTCTCCCAAGAACAGACCACAGACAGTGTCCTCTCCCAAGAACAGATCACAGACAGTGTCGTCTCCCAGAACAGACCACAGACAGTGTCCTCTCCAGAACAGATTACAGACAGTGTGTCCTCTCCACAGAACAGGCCAGAACCCGGTGTCTCTCGAAGAACAGCCCACAGGACAGTCCTCCTCCCCAGAACAGATACAGACAGTGTTGTCCTCTCCCAAGAACAAGACTGAACAGTGTCCTCTCCCAGGAGCAGATTTACAGACAGTGTCCTCTCCCAGAACAGACCAGAGACAGTGTCTCTCCCAGGGAACAGACTCTGGGCAAGTCTCCTTTCTCCAGAACCACAGACAGTGTCACTCTCCCAGAACAGACCACAGACAGTGTCCTCTCCCAGAACAGAGCTACGAGACATGATCTCCTCCAGAACAGACCAGAGACAGTGTCCTCTCCCAAAGACAGGCCACAGACAGTCTCCTCTCCCAGAACAGACCCAGAGACAGTGTCCTCTCCCAAATTGAGACCACAGACAGTGTCACTCTCCCAGAACAGATCACCAGACAGTGTCGTCTCCCAAGAACAGACACGAACCCAGTCTCCTCTCCAGAACAGATCAAAAGACAGTGTCTCTTAGAACAGACCACAGACAGTGTCCTCTCCCAAGAACAGATCACGAAGACAGTGTCGTCTCCCAGAACAGACCACAGACAGTGTCTCTCCCAGAACAGATTACAGACAGTGTCCTCTCCCAGAACAGACCAAGGGCAGTGTCTCTCCCAGAACAACCCTGAACCAGTCTCCTCTCCCAAGAACAGATCTGGAGCCAGTGTCATCTCCCAGAACAGACCACAGACCAGTCTCCTCTCCCAAGAACAGATCACAGACAGTGTCGTCTCCCAGAACAGACCACAGACAGTATACTCCCAAGAACAGATCTGAAGACAGTGTCGTCTCCCAAGAACAGACACAGACAGTGTCCTCTCCCAAGAACAGATTACAGACAGTGTCCTCTCCCAAGAACAGACCAGAGACAGTGTCCTCTCCCAAGAACAGACCACAGACAGTCTCCTCTCCCAAGAACAGACCACAGACAGTGTCCTCTCCCAAGAACAGACCACAGACAGTGTCCTCTCCCAAGAACAGATTACAGACAGTGTCCTCTCCCAAGAACAGACCAGAGACAGTGTCCTCTCCCAAGAACAGACCACAGACAGTCTCCTCTCCCAAGAACAGACCACAGACAGTGTCCTCTCCCAAGAACAGACCACAGACAGTGTCCTCTCCCAAGAACAGGCCACAGACAGTCTCCTCCCAAGAACAGACCAGAGACAGTGTCCTCTCCCAAGAACAGGCCACAGACAGTCTCCTCCCAAGAACAGACCACATACTGTGTATTCTCTCAAAAAAAGACCACGGACAGTCTTACACAGGTGCAGTCGGCAAAAGGAATAACTAAATATACTGTAGCTGTAGAGTCCGAAAATGGTCTGGTAACGTTGAAACTGCGCATCCAGACGCATGATGAAACTCAGCTCCCCCCACCTGTTATCTCTAACTATTTTCTGTTTCTCCTTCTTTATTCTTTTATTTACTCCTCTTCCTTCCTTGACTAATCCAAACATCCCTAAAAAAAAAGTAGGGATAGAGAAAAAGTGGGGGAGGAGGAGAGAGCTGTACAAGTTTACTACCATTGGATACAATATATTGCTTGTAATATAAACACAAGACACTAGTAAAACATTCACAACAAATGTATTTATAACATATATGTAGGAATAAAACATAAAATACAAGTCATTTTGTAATTTTGTCTGTTCTGTTCAGGACAGTGTTACCAGATATTTTGTCTCAAACACGAACCGTAGGTGTATACTTATTCTTGTGGCCGACTGTACATCATGACCACAGACATACCCAAGTAAAATCAAGACCCTCTCGATGGAACAAGGGTGTGGTTGAGGATCGATCAGTCTAAGCTTCTGCTATGCCTTAACAATATCGGAGAAGCCCCTGAAGCAGAGTTCCCCTAAGCACGGTTTTGGCCTCTGGGATGCCGTAAAGACCGCTGTAAATTGTGGAGTCACGGTTGGGGAATCCTCCGAGAGCCAGGCCCGGCAGGAAGGAGAATTCTTCGGTGGCGTCGATATCTCTATGACCTGTAAACACACACAGCTGTCAAACAGTCCACCCAAGCTTATTTCACCTAAAGATTAACCACCCTATATATATATATATATATATATATATATATATATATATATATATATATATATATATATATATATATATATATATATATATATATATATATATATATATAGCTGCATCCATTGAATACTTCCTGAATATCTTGTAGAGGTCTGTAGTAATGCAGTTACTCTTAGATCTTGCTTGTTGCTTCAGTTTACTTAATATTAATTATGGTATAAAATGTAGACATATATATTTCAGATTAACCTGATGCTTTCACAGTTTTCTATGTATCAACAAAAGTGAAATTTTAAGATTGTTTACTCATTTTTCTGCGTTCTTCTCTTTTAACAAGTTAAGAAAGGACGTTTATTATCTTTCTCCTTTTCTCTCAAATCAATTGATAATTTTTGCCTTATAATACAGAAAACATGAGAGACGACCCATTATGAGGACCGACCTTGATACTGGTATGTGGATGAAAATAAGTAATAGCCTGACCAGAGTTCATTGTCTCAAGCTAGGAGCAGTATAAAAACCCGAAATTATGTTTTTGCTTCATTTTTGTGTCGAGCCATCATGGTCACTGGGGTAAGGTTCAGATTCAGTGAGAAGTGACTTTAGAGCCAAGAAGAGAGGAAGGAATAATAATAATAATATGATTTACGAGGAATGGAGAGTACGTGTATTAAACATTGACGAACAAGTAAATGAAAATGGGTACCTAATACTAAGATTCATTGGAGTTTTATTGACTCATTGAATCATGTACTGACCTTCCCCTTTCTTGGTAAAATTTCTTTCCTCTTCAGTAAGAGTCCATTGTGTATGAAATATTATTACGGTCATAATATACTGTATTGCAAAAAATGTCGAACATCATATTATCACTACAATTGTTTATAGGCTCGAGGTATGGTAGGCATTGAGGCGTGACAACACTGCCCTAGCGTGATAGTGAAGTACTTTATACATGTGTTGACTCGTGACTATGATGGACGAGGGGAGGCTCCACAGTCCACAATGGCCGCGTCACTTATTTGGCTCAATTATCCTTAACGCGGAAATGTTCACGAATATGTGTTGGCTATGTTCTATCTTACAATAAATAATAAATCACAAAAGAAAAACATCCAACGGCTATGACAAAAGATGTTTGTCAACTACGGTGTTAAATACGGGTATGGTTTATGAATTTTGTATTAAAATTAAAAAAAAAAAATGGATCTACTTTGTCTTCAGACATTGTAATTTAATAACTAATTGTTATTAGAATGAAATACTAACTTCAAAAGCCAGTTTTAGATATACTACATAATCATTTACAAAGTACCAAAATATTTACAACTACTATTGTAATATATGTTAGGTTTCTACAACATATACTTTGGATAAAGGTTATGACACTGAACAGCATTCCCAGCTTTCGGGAGGCAGCTTTAGTAATGTTGTGGGTGCGTGGCTTCCATGACATTTTAGAGCAAATGGCGGGGCCTAGCATATCTATTTTAGAATTTGGCAGAATGATTGCAACCTTAATTGTGATAGGCGTGAATTTGTTTAAGGTGTAGAAGCTGTCGTCAACACAACAACCACACCCTGAGTAAACAAGTTGCATGACCCAGTGCCAAGGAATAGTCCGAGAACACGATCCGCAAATCGATTAACATCCAGTCCTCCAATGACTTCTGGGTAGACAGAGGCAAATGACAAAGAAACTTCCCCTAGTCTCACCCTGCCTGGGGATCGAGTCCAGCTCCGCTCGCTTGCTTGCTTGCGAGGCGAGCATGCTGACTATTACACCATAGGTCGCCATAATTATTAAACTTACACGGTAGAGTGCCACCACCAAGGCTTTTATTAGAATATAACTGGTATCATTACAAGTGTTAGGTATCGTGATAGGCGAGTTGGCGAGTTGTCGGGTCTTCTCGGACTATTCCTTGACACTGGGTCATGCAACTCGCTAACTCAGGGTGTGGTTGTTGTGTTGGCGACAGCTTCTACACCTTAAACAAATTCACTCCGAGGTAGCCCTTGGGCTGGCCATCCTCGTTACACGAGGGGAAACCATTATTAAGTATAATAATTATACCAATAGGTGTTGTTAAAGAATGATATGGTTTTCCCAGGTTAATCTATTGTATAGAATATAACTAAGCACTGATAAATACCGAACGAAGTAAGTGGGAAAATATAAGAAACAAATAATGGTATTGAAAGAAATATATAAGATATAGCAAATAAAGATAAAGAATATTGAAAAAAAAAATAAATAAAAACATTGAAAGAAATACTTAGAAAATAACTCGAAAAAGAAGTTCAAAATAAATCAGAAAATAAAGGATAATATAACTAAGAAAATTAAAGGAGGTTATATAGGACATAGAAATAACTTAGAAAACATAACCAAATAAATTTAAAAAAAGTGATATAAGTTATAATAACAGAAAAGAGAAATAGAAAACAACAAAATCATCAAAGAAAAAATATCTCCTTTTGTATTAATCAGACCGTGGAATGAGATAAATAAACAAAAACGATTTGCCCCTCTCCCCTTACACATACATTTACCACTCCTGCAAAATTTTCGATTCATGGCATTGTTCGTCAAGAGAGATAACTATGTACATTAACTTCACACAGATGTAAATAAGATAATTTCACTTTAACATAGCTTATGGATCAACCACAACACTTCACATATATCTAATACACTTACGATATTCTTAAAACGTTATAGTTGTATATATTCATCTGCCACATGAGAGCGAAGCTTAACCTAATTGAGACGAAATCAATTAACTCTCAGACACTGTTGCACTTATTCACAATATTACACTATTTTGTAGCAATTGGACCTTCCCAACACTCATATATGTACCTTTAATTTTCCTTTAACACTATCAATATGCAGTACAAACTTAAGATTATATGTACGGACTTCATAAAATAACAACATACGGTATAAAAATTACCCCTTCGAGGCGTTTAACATTTTCTGTAAATGTTTTTATAGAAAACAAAATTAATACCTTGAGAGACTATTTTATTTTTTATGCAGCTGTAATTTATATCATAAGAAATTACAGAGACCAATACTAATGTGGGCAGTACAGGAATATATTTTCTGAGTCAGATATAGAGTAGTGATAATGAAAGTATGGGGAAATGTATAATTATTTAGTTATGACCCTTCTTACCCTTTCCCATCAAAGGTGGGCAGGGCTTCCAAGTAGAGAGAAAATGTGGAATTAAAAACAAAATTAGCCTAGCCTAGCCTAGCCTATTTATTGCAATCATTTCTGGTTATTTATCTTGAAAACACTGGCATATGATTTAGGCTTATAACCAGGCATCGATATAAGATTTAGGTTCGTGTGCCGGTGTTTGCTGAATATTAGCCCTTTATTTGGCTAATGTTGATTAAATTGACTTACTAATAGCCATTGATCGCACATCTGTACCGTACATATTAAAGTAATGTGAATTACTTCAGAATTCCTTATTTACAAGTGCTTGTCCTTTAAATTATATTATTTGTAGTTTTCTCAAGCTTGTGACAGAAAACAGAGATGACAGCACAAACTCAAAGTAAAGCTGCGAAATTATAGAAGATTAAAGGCTGACGTGTATATACCGCATAATACAAGGCTGCAGTCGATCATGATCGTTTCATTGATGGCACGGATGTGCATCAGAACTTATCTGTACTAAGCGCAGATATTCTAAGCTTATACAACATTCAATGTACTGATAATATCGTTATACTGTCAATACCATACTATTTCAGCGACAAGTCTTCATACTAATACAGTACTGCAGGAGGAGGTGTTTCTCTACCTCCCGTGATACACCCAGTCGAGATACCTATCATGCATGAATCCATATCCAATATGACTGCAAGGGATGACTCAAAGCGTAATCGATGAGACATTAGTCGAATTCCCACTCATCTCTACTACCGAGACCCTGCCACATCTTGACTGGGGATATCACAGTGCATGTGACATCATTGGCGTGTAGTGTATCCCGGGTGAGACCACCCCACTGTATTAGAAGATATTCTTGCCATCTATCCTGATTTTCTCATCACCTGGCACACTATCTTTCAGTTAGCCACTTGAACTTCTCATGTAATCATTATATTTATGATATTCCTATTCTTATTATTAAAAAAAAATATTGGTATTAACAAACCACTTCTTCCTCTCTTTATTATTATTTATACTCTTACGATTTTTCTGCCAGTATCAGTGAAAAAGC